ACACTTCCAATTGTAAAATAAATAAGTAACCGGGATGTAATGTATAGCATAAGGAATATAGTCAAAATATTGTAACAACTTGGTATGGTGATAGCTGGTACCTAGAATTATCATGTATATAAATGTTCAATCACTGTATTGTACACCTGAAACTAATGTAATACTGTGTGTCAACTACCCTTCAATAAAAAATAATTATCTTAAAAAAAAAAGAGTTTTCCTGAGTTCTGTGAGCTGCTCTAGCAAACTGATTAAACCTAATGAGCAAGTCGTTGGAACCTCCCTCCTGCAGCCAGCTAGTCAGAAGCATGGGTGACACTGTGGAACGGAGCAGAGGGCAGTCCTGAAGGATGGAGCCCTCACCCAGGGGAATCTGGCACTGCCTTTGGGTAGACCATGAGAGAACCAAGCTGAATGCCCAGACACCCTGCTGGAGCCCCCGTCCATCAAACATGCACATTGGATTTGGGTTCGGGAGCCCTCAAAGAAATGTAAAACCAGTAAAAGTACTATGCTTGCAGCTCTTATACAGCTACAATATTTTAAATGCACGATTAAACACCCATCTAAGAAATCCACAAAGTGAATACGTTTCACTGACAATGAATTCAGCCTCCTTGACCTAGTCAGGTGAGACTCACTCCTGCTGCGCCTGCTGGTCCCACCACATGCTGGGCTGGCACCATTCACCCACCACTTCCCTCGTTTGGAACCATGGTGCAGCAGCCCCTCTCAGCTAGCTCACAGCTGGTGTCTGCACTCCCACCTCTTGTTTCTCAGCATCCACATGCAGTACTGCGCACTGACACAAACAAAACTGAACCTCTGATGTCTAAGACACTGTGTAGGTGGAACTGAGGGCATTTTGGTTTTTGGAAATAACTGAATTTTTAAAATTACCATCAAATGAAAAATACAAGTGAAATCCTTGTAGAGAACCATGGCACCCTAATAAATCCCACCTGTTTTTTGGGGCTGTAAGCCTCTGAAGGAGGAGTTTAAATAACTGTGTCCCATGGGTCACTGAACTCACACAGAAAAGCATTTTTGTGGTTAGCCTTTAGTACTATTGAAAACCAAGTATCTCACTTTATTTCCTTTAAACCTTCAGCCCACATGACTTCCAGTTAAGATGGCACAGTAAATTCACTTTGATGGATCCTCTCTACTCCAAACACACAGCAATGAGAGGAAACCTAAACAGAAAAAAACAAAAAGCAAGCTCAAAAATAATAAAAAACATTTCTATGAAACAGATATGGGGCAAAAACACAAAGAGCTAGTAAGTCAAGTTAAAGCTTGAGGTTCCTAAGTTCAGGATCCAAAAATAGACAGAGAAACTATAAGTATGAGTGAGCCCCATGAGGTTCTGAAGCTAAACACAACCCACAAAGGACAAAGTCTAACCAAGCATCGCTGCCTGAAATCAAGGTGCTCAGCATGGGAGGGCTTCCCCACTCCTGAGGGATGGCTGACAGCTCCTGGTCTCAGATGTGGTCTAGGGGAAAGGGTGGACACAGGCCAGCCAGCCACCAGGAATTTGATAAAGCAGCCGGCAAGGGCCCAACTAACAAGCTGCACTGTGGTTCTAGACTGGGGCTCAGAGACAAAACTATTAAACAGGGAAAAGTGAGCAGAGAAGAAAGAGGTAGAAATGAGTGAACAATGGAAAAAAAAATTTCATTTACATCGTCATTCAAGCAAAGTTCTTAAAGTACATGAAGAAATTTAATATCAATAAAGGCAAAAGAGTCAACGAACCCGCCACCAATTCAGGTCAGAAGAAGTCAACATTATAAAACAACCCAGCAAAATATGTGTGTTTAAGATGCTTTTTAAAAGCGACTTGAAAAATAAGAAACTACAAAACAAAAAGGCAGAATTAAAACAACAGATAGTTTAAAAAGAACCAACTGGAAATTATGTATGAAGAATATAGTCATTAAACTAAAAAATCAGCACACAGCATACTTTAACTGGGAAGAACTGAAGAAAGAGCTGGTAAATCTGAAGATTGTACTAAGGATCTCACTCAGCCTATAAGGAAAAGAAGAAAACTATGACAGCAGTTAAGAAACCTGAAGGTTGGCTCCACAAATACATAGGAAATGTTACAGCAGAAGAAAAGGAAGAGATGGAAGAGAAGCAATATTTAAAGTGATAAAAGCTAAGAATGTTCAAGAAATACATGAGTTCTCAGGTTAAAAGTACATTCTTAATACTGAGAAAGATAACTTAAATAAATAAGCAGGTAATTAAACCAATAAACAAATACACACAAACATAAGTATTAATTAAAAAAGAAAATCTCAAAGCTACCAGAGAGCACCGAGCATGCACTCTGAACATGCAATCCTGAGTGTGCACCGAGCATGCAATCCTGACCACTCAATCCTGAGCGTGTACTGAGCGTGCAATCCTAAGCATGCTCCCTGAATGTGCAATCCTGAGCATGCACCAAGCATGCAATCCCAAGCGTGCACCCTGAACGTGCACTGGTCCTGCCAGGTCACAAAGCCTGGAAGGCTGGTTGCTGGCACTGCAGTCCAGGCCAGCAGAGGTCACTGGCACCCAGCAGCCTGCAAAGACCACAGGGGAATAAGCCACCCGGAACAGCACACCCAGGCTGATGCAGAGCCCCACAAGCATTCTGCCTCTGCCTTATCAGCTAGCTGGTGAGTACAAGGTAAAGTAAATGTCTTTCTCTTTAGCAACAACCCAAAGAAACTTCCTGAAAAAACTGAGCTGTAAACATTTCAGATTTGTCCTGCCTGGAACGGATACTCAGACTGGGTTAAATTTCTCTTCCTTGCCCACTACACTACTGTCAGCAGCACAAACATGGGCATTAGCAGGCTCCCGGCTCATCAGGGCAGGACTGTGACTCCCAAATCAAAAGAAGTGAGACAAGGACCTGACTAGAGTTACGACTAGCTGTTATTTGAACTCAATGCTTTTCCTCTATATTCCTTTACCACTTACCCATACTTCTCTCCATACATTCATTTCATTCTATCACATCTTCTCTGAAGCTAAAGGAAAAGAAAACATAAACAAGAATGACAGCCTGAGTTATCTGGAAAAGAACTTGATTTGGAGGATCACAGATGATCTATTTACAATAGAAAATGGTCACAGAAAATTGGCAACACAAAACACATCACGGTTATTCAGATAAAGACTAGAGCCACAAAGTTTTTAAAAGGTTGTTAAGTAAGCCCCTTAGTTAAGTTCCCCTGAAAAGCAGAGCTCAGGGAAGCTAGGGGAAGACTAAAACCGCCTCATTTCCAGAGAGAAAAACCTCTCATCAAAACTACCTGTATGATGCTCTCCAGCTGGTGCACCTGGCAACCACTCCAGGGGATCCATATGGACACATGCCATAGAACCAGCCACCACAGCCACAGAACCGCTCTCTGAACTGTTCTGTTACGACACAAGAGCACCACCTACTGAAATAGTTCCAGGGGACAATTCAGCCCATTTGTTGAAAAATGGCTATATACCTACCTCTACCCAACTGCTTACCTTGGCTTCAGAAAAACATGGCTTCAAGCTATTTCACCCTAACTGGCTGTCTCTTTCTCTTTTAGAATGAGTGCCTTTGCCAAGACCTCCTGAAAAAGGAACGGCACACCTCCTCCGTGCTCCCCGTTTTTACTTTAACAGCCACAGCAAATGAGTCTTTACTGCTGCTAATGTCCTCCTTCCCTCCTATCCAGCTTCCGCTACCTGACTGAACACTGCTTTGCTAGATCTCTGCCCTACCTGTTTTCCAGGGGCAAAGAAAATTCAAGGGGAGAAGTGAGTAGTTCTAATGGGTCTGGGGAGGATATGTGTAAAGTAGCCCTCTAAAGCTAAAAGTACTAATATTGGGGGATTGTACATTTTCAAATCCACTAAAAGATGATTAGAAAAGTCCCCTCTCCTGAAGGAGCTTAAAATGAACATAGAGCTTCTAGAGGCCAAATTACATTTTTTTAAATAATACCTGACAACAAAATTTATTACAGAGCTACAGTAATCAAGAGAGTGTAATACTGATGATAAAATAGATGTATCAATGAAAAAGCATATGAGGTCCATGAATAGATCCACGCAGATTTGGACAAGAGTTTCAACAAAAAGACAAAGATTTGTCAGTGGGGAGAGGAGAGGGTTTTGAACATACAGTGCTGTAACAACTGGATTGCCATACATGCACAAAAATTAATTTTGAAACATAATTGTTTATATAAAATTTTTTTTTATTTTGGTAACATTAACGTACAATTACATGAGCAAAATTATGGTTACTAGACTCCCCATTATCAAGTCCCCACCACATATCCCATTACAGTCACTGTCCATCAGCGTAGTAAGATGCTACAGAATCACTACTTGTGTTCTCTGTGTTGTACAACCCTCCCAGTGCCCCTCTACCACATTATATGTGCTAATCGTAATGCCTCTTTTTCCCCCCTTATCCCTCCCTTCCCACCCATCCTCCCCAGTCTCTTTCCCTTCAAATGGACTGTTAGTCCATTCCTGGCTTCTGTGAGTCTGCTGCTGTTTTGTTCCTTCAGTTTTTTCTTTGTTTTTATGCTCCACAGATGAGGGAAATTATTTGGTACTTGTCTTTCTCTGCCTGGTTTATTTCACTGAGCATAATACCCTCTAGCTCCATCCATGTTGTTGCAAATGGTAGGATTTGTTTTCTTATGGCTGAATAATATTCCATTGTGTATATGTACCACCTCTTCTTTATCCATTCATCTACTGATGGACACTTAGGTTGCTTCCATTTCTTGGCTATTGTAAATAGTGCTACGATAAACAGGGCTGCATATGTCTTTTTCAAACTGGGCTCCTGCATTCTTAGGGTAAATTCCTAGGAGTGGAATTCCCGGGTCAAATGGTATTTCTATTTTTAGTTTTTTGAGGAACCTCCATACTGCTTTCCACAATGGCTGAACTAATTTACCTTTCCACCAGCAGTGTAGGTGGGTTCCCGTTTCTCCACATACTCGCCAACATTTGCTGTTGTTTGTCTTTTGGATGGTGGCCATCCTAACTGGTGTGAAGTGGTATCTCATTGTGGTTTTAATTTGCATTTCTCTGATGTGAGAAGTGCAGCATCTTTTCATGTGTCTGTTGGCCATCTGAATTTCTTTGAAGAAGTGTCTGTTCAGATCCTCTGCCCATTTTTTAATTGGATTATTTGCTTTTTGTTTGTTGAGATGCATGAGCTCTTTGTATATTTTGCATGTCAACCCTTTATCGGATCTGTCATTTATGAATATATTCTCCAATACTGTAGGATGCCTTTTTATTCTACTGATGGTGTCCTTTGCTGTACAGAAGCTTTTCAGCTTGATATAGTCCCACTTGTTCATTTTTGCTTTTGTTTCCCTTGCCTGGGGAGATATGTTCATGAAGAAGTTGCTCATGTTTATGTCCAAGAGATTTTTGCCTATGTTTTCGTCTAAGAGTTTTATGGTTTTATGACTTACATTCAGGTCTTTGATCCATTTTGAGTTTACTTTTGTGTATGGGGTTAGACAGTGATCCAGTTTCATTCTCTTAGATGTAGCTGGCCAGTTTTGTAAATGACTTATTAGTGAAGAAGAAAGTAAGTAAGGAAAAACTATTTACGAGTTATTATAAGAAACATCAGGGTAGAACTGATTGTTTTTGTAACCTGGGTACATACAGAATACAACTGAAGCCACGGCAAAAATTTGGTTCTTTCTAGAGCCCTTCATGGCTTGTGTGAGGCATCAAGGTACTATCAATGACAAAAACCCTAACACAGAATCACTTGAACAATCCACATGAATTCTAGCCTGTATGCCATTTAGCTCTGTTCTGTTTTACTGGTTGGGGGGGCTGAGGTAGGAGGCCACTCTATTTATGAGCCACTATACATGTAACCTCTGCTGTGCTTCAGTCATGATGCAAAAGCAGCAGCTTGTGTTTATTCAAAATCTCATGCGCCCTCTCCTCCAGGACCAGTTGGGGTGCCCAGTACAGCCAGATCACTCACATTAAAACAGAGGGGAGATCCTCCACATGGCACAGTCAAGGAAGAAACAACATGTATCCCCAAAATACCAATTATCTGATGCCTATAAAAGTACAAATTTGTTCATTTGGAACTCATAAAAGCTTTGAAACAATAAATGTGCCTGTGTTCTATTTCAATTACTTCATGGGTATAAAAAAACCAATGCTGTAGAAAAATTCCAGTCACAGTCTGGTGCATAAATGACTATGCTAAGTGCATAGTTAGGCTACACACATGTCTCCAAAGCCCTGTATAAGGTGCACCAAGACCGGGTGTCACAGGGACAGTAACCCAACTGAACGGGAGAACCTCAGGGAAGAGACCTGTTGAAAAGGAATGAAATTATTCAGAGGTACATTCTAAGATAAACAGCAACTGACTGATTGACCTAAATAAAGCAGGAAAAAAACCCAAGTAGGGACTCACAGTCCCTGTAGAATTTTTTTTTAAAGCGTAATACTGGGTTTTGGTTGCCCAGTATGAAATGAAAGGCCTGTTAGAAAATGCCAAAAGGAGGCCAGCAAAAATACTGTTAGCATGCTACTTTTGACCCAATCTTGGTCCTCATTATTCTCAGGTGTAGTAGACATTTACAGTCACCTCTCCAGCACCCATTTCCTTCCTTCCTCCGTCTTAACAAAACCTGAAAATTTCCCAGCCACAGATTTGGGGAAGAGACGAATGAACTCTGATTGGGTTAAAGCCACCATAGTTCTCAGAGACAACCCTGACTCATAGGGGCCTTTGACAACGAAGATATTTTGGGTTGTCACGACTTGGGGAGAGGAGGCTGCTGGCACCCAGTGGGTGGAGGCCAGGGAAGCTGCTCCATAGCCTACACAGGACGCCCCACAGCCAGCAGTTCTCTGGTCCCAAACGTCACTTCCTCACCACGCTGGACGCTCTCTCTCACGCAGCTCCTGGAAAAAGGAGATGCAGCAGGTGAAGAGGGAAACGCACTCCAGTCACTGCTGGAAGCCACCTCAACCACAAGGCAGCCGCTTTAGGACAAAGTGTGGAAGGAAGAGCGGGGATGACTTCTCGCCATAAGGTCTCTTAAAGATAAACCACTTTCTGGACACTGATTTTTTTTTTCCCTCACTGTATGACCTTTTCATCAAACAGTACACTCAGTACATCACTGTAAGATAATAATTCACCATGATGGTTTCAGATGAAGCCCAGACTCCCTAGTTCACTCGACATAGCACTTTCTTGTCAAGAATACCATATGGAACAAAAAAGACTTTTTAAATTGGTTCTAACATGCCATGTCATCTGTAGTAATAAGTTACTTGGCAGTCCCCCAAAATATATGTCCATGTCCTAAGGCCCACACCTGCAACTGTTACCTTTAAAGAGTGCAGGAGCTACTGGTTGTAAATCAGTGATCCAGCTCAACGCTTTTCCTTCCCAGAAGAGATAATGGGTGCAGAGGGGTGAAGTGCCTTCCTTAGATCATCTCTGTGGTTAGAGTCCCACCAAGGGAAAACTCAGGTCCCCGGCACCTCCTCCATTGTTCCACCTGAGGTCATACTAGTGGAGGTCATACATAGTAGTGGAGGAAAACACGACTAAGGGAGCAGAAAACTGTTGAAACTTTTACTTTTTTGAGAAAAGATGAAATGATACAGGTACTCTAGCCTAGAAAAGGGAAGGGTGGTGAATGAGTTAGCAAATGCCTACAGGTGAAGAAAACATTGACTAAAGGCTACTCCACATACATTCATTTTGTGTTGATAATCAGACCCTGGTTTTTCTATCTTTTTGTGTGTCTTATAACTGAAGAGTTTCAACACTTTAATTATGTTAGACTCTGTTATACTAGATTTTATTGGCACTATAAACTAGAGGGACAAAGGGAGAACAGTGACAAGAAGCCCCTGACACCCTCTCTCATGGGTCCCACATTTGCTCCACTTCGTAGTTTCTCTCCAAAGACTAGCTTCCTCCGCTGACTCACAGCTTTTTTGTTTTCCTGGCCTG